GATAGATAGATAGATAGAAAGAGAGAGAGAGAGAGAGAGAGAGAGAGAGAGAGAGAAGAAGAAGAGAAAGCAACAAAGACAGTGAAAAGGTGACAGAAAGAGAGAAGGTGAAAAGAGAGAGAGAAAAAGAAAGAGAATCAATCAGAGAAAATAAAGAGGAGGGAATAAAAGAGAAAGATGAAAGAGAAAAAGGAAAGACAGAGCTGGATAATGACAGATAGAGAGAGAAAAAGAAATAACAAGAAAAGAAAAAAGACAGAGAGAATTAGAGACAGAGACAGAGTAAAAGAAACAGACATAGAGGGGGAGAGTGAGAAAGAAGAAGAGAAAGCAACAAAGACAGTTGGAAAGCTGACAGAGAGAAAAGAGAAAGAAAAGGATAAAAGAGAGAGAGAAAAAAAAGAGAACCAGAAGAAGGAGAGAATGAAGGAGAAAGAGGAAAGAGAAAAGGGAGAGATAGACAATGAGAGAGAGAGAGAGTGAGAGAGAGAGAGAGAGAGAGAGAGAGAGAGAGAGAAAGGAAGTGAATCAATCAAAGAGAATGGTAGAGAGAGAGAGAGAGAGAGAGAGAGAGAGAGAGAGAGAGAGAGAGAGAGAGCTCTTCTGAATTACCACATGCAGAACAAAGTAACTCTAAAGTAACAAACACCATGTGACCACAGTGACCCAAAAACTGAACTAAACTGGATGTAGAGATTAAAAAGTACATAAAGTTCTACAAAAAGGTAAATAAATAAAACAAACAAACAAACAAACAAAAAACCATTATAGAAACCCTCCAGCATGTGAATGGTGCTTGCTCACCTGCACTAGGGTCATCTGGGAGCCGAGCGCAAGGAGGATCTTCTCTGTTTTGGTTGGGTACGGGTTGTCCCGGTGTTTGTAGAGCCACTGCTTCAGGGGCCGGGCCATGTCCTGCAGCGCCTGCCGCTTATGACGAACTTTACCAGCACCCTGCCTGGACCTGGCAGACAACACACAGCAGAGATGCTCTTCAGAAATGCTCATATATTACAGCAATCCCAGCTTACAGTCTTTCCATTCTCTGTATATGGTGTACAAACCAAACACACCTGATTCACTTTCTACTGAAATTTGAATAGATTATTACTAATTATTTCATTATTAACTCAAAGTTAAGTCCAAATGTCCACGTCTAAACAAGAAAGAAAGAAAGAAAGAAAGGCATGAATGTGCTGCTCACACACTCTGCTCTCAATGAGCCTAGCCCCGCGCTGAGCATGAGTGTGCACCAGAAACTCTTAAACCAATATGAACATTTCAGTAGCTCAAAGGAGCCGACAGGAATGACCAGTGTGACCTACATTCAACCCCTTAAACCCCAGGTTTATTATTCCATCACGATTCTTGAGACTTCTATGAAACTAAGACGTAAAGTGTGCAGCTATGTGTGTGAGGGATGGAATATGTGAGGGTTTAAGAGGTTATCAAGTGCAGAAAGTGAGCTCAGTGTGGAAGCTGGATGTTGAACTGGTTTTATCAGGCTGCGGCTGCAGAGCTGCTGATGGAGATCAGATGGAGATCAGATGTTTATCTGATGTGGATCTGATGTTCCTCTGCACTCTCTCCAAACAGGTGTCGCTCTGAGCCTGTAGATGTCAGTATGGCACCGCGGCGCTGTCCCGTTATCTCGCGCTGAAGCTGCGCTGCACGTGCTCCACATCCCCCCAGACCCCGAGGCCGCTCGAGCTTCATGTTCCGCAAATATTTTCCTTGTAACTCGGATCTGTATGAACAACCTGGAGTCATTTTTTCTCCCCCTGTTCTCAGTATCTGCGACACACACCTCAGTGTTTAGATTCGTTTTCTTCATTAGGGGTGATTCCCCCCGCGGGGAGGGAGCGCCACGCTGTTTTCCTCCGGACTCCGCTTTCACTCAGGCGCACCCGCAGCGCAGCGCCTTTGCGCACTGCCGCTATTTTGCGTAGCATGTTACGCCTTTCTACTAATCTTTGAGCATCGCGTCTCGTTACTGTGTCTCTCGAGATCAAGAAGCGCGCCGATAAGCGCAAGGGGTTTAGGGGTACAATGAAGATCACGTGTTTACTTTTTTTGCTCCCTCTCTGCCAAAATAGCGTGATGGACTGGACCACACATAGAGCTGAAGGAAAAGTTTATTTATTAGAAACAGGCTCGAGCTACCGACCACATTAACGACCAACAGGAGACCAGCCGGCCAGCGCTGGACCAACACGAACATTATATTAGCGTTATTAAATGATGGACATTAATTTCCTGCAATTACTCGTTTCACATGCAGGTTTAATTGCATTTATCGATAAGAAAAAGGCGAATCAGCTGTAAACTCAAACCACATGGAGCCCGAGAGCAACCTGCCATTTAAGGGCAGAAGCGAGAGCGCAGTAAATCAGCGCGCTTCATGCAGATAGACTCAAACTGCGCATTTCGCTCGTTGGATTAATTTATATTCCCTGTAGTTAATTAATGTCAGATGGAGATGCAAAGCACTGCTTATCTTCACACCTCTGCTCTACGATGCATCACAGTTACAGGTACAGTGGTCAGTTGGAGACCATAAGCTGCTTTAATTGAACTTTGTAGAACTCACTGTAGGTTTTAACTGAGTGGCTGTTCACTGATAGGAGAGGTAAATTCTGAGCATGATGCTCAGAGTGAATGAACGGATGAAGCTCTTTCTACAACATGTCTCTAAATCACCGCTCTGGTTTCATTGACCAAAGCGTTTTACATTATCTACCGTATCTGTTTTGAATCAATCAGCCAAATAATTCATTAATTTATTCAATAAATTAATTAATCAGCTGTCCTCAAATTGAAGTATGATGTGAAACATATTCAGCTCCTATTAATGCGTAATTGAGCTCATATTAATACATGAGCATTAGACATTAATTAAGGTTACACATTAAGCACACATTAAAGCCTGATTATATATATATTATTTTGATTAGAGATATTGAGACGCATATTAAGCACGTATTAAGCGTTTATTAGATACGTATTAAGCTCACATGACGATCATAATGAGACACGTTTAAACAGGGCGCTAACGATCACTAGCCGACACTAAAACATATATATTTAGCTCACACTAAAGCACGTTTGAACATAAATTAAGCTAATAAGATTAAGATCACGATTAGACACATATGAAACATATATGTCGCTGCTGTCGGAACCTCGTACATCATCGTTTTTGATTTCTTCATTTGAATATACATCATTTGAAAATACCTGTTGCCCTTTACATTGTGTGTAAATTTCATGACGAATGGACCAAACAAAATGACCCAAAATGACCCCAAAAAAAGTCTGGTTCCATTGACTTACAGTCAAAGTAAAGTAGGTTTTTTCCTTCTCCTGTAAAGTTACCATTTTGGAGATACGAGGTTTTGCAGCGAGATACGAATGCATGTGAAGCTAATATTAAGCTCATGTTTAAACGCACTGTAAACTGGTGATGAGCTGGTATTATGTTCACTCCTTACCCAGGTCTCCGGTGCCTCAGCGCTGAGCTGTCCTTCATGCCCTGGCTGCTGCTCAGGATGTCCGCGTGCTGTCCATCGAGAACCTCCAGATAATTCCTGCTGCTCCTCTCCACCTCGTTGGCCTTGTCCTCGAGCAGGACCTGGCTGCTCAGTTTGTTGAACACGATCGTGTTCATCTTTGGCTGGATGTAGTCCTGCGTCCCGCGTCCTGTGTCCCGCGTGCTCTCCTCTCTCCCCCTGCTGCGTTAAAGTCCTGCGCGCGCTCTCGGCGTGCTGCTGGATGGCGCCGTTGCGCAGAGTCCTGCTGCCTGTCCTGAGGAGCAAAGAGCACTGAGTAAGCTCGGAGTCCACGACACAGGCACGCGACTCCACACAGCTCCACGATTTGGATGATAGGAGAGCCCAACGAGAGCCAGAATTATGGACTATCAAAGCAGCCTACATGGGGGCTCGTCTTACACGCGCGCGGGCACATTTCATCAGACACCCAAATCAAACATTCTGACGCGTGCAGACTCCCCCCCCCCTCTCCCACACACACACACACACACACACACACACACAAACTCTCTCTCTCTCTCTCTCTCTCTCTCTCTCTCTCTCTCTGATACGCGCGCACACACGGAGCGACTTGTTCACGGCTCAAGGAAAACCTGATAAACACCATCAGACCGTGCACTCGGTGCGCGCGGTGTTCTGTGAAACGCAGCTAAGAGCGCGGCTGAAATAAAGTGAAGCCCTGACACGACAAAACACGCTGCTTATAAAACTCACGGTTACCCACGTAACCCGGAGCTCCTCGTCTACGTCCTAAACACTAGAGCTAACCTCACCATTCACCCCGGATTAAGTTAGTGTGGACAGCGAACTTCACCTACACAACTGCACTTACTCACAGTGGTCATTTGAGTCCAGTTGCACTGATATAAAGACTGTACACGTTAATGCAGCACTGGAGGTTTAATACAACACTGTACGTATATTCAACTCAACGGGCCAGCTTCCCAGAACGAGACTGAGCGTAAACCTAGACTAGAAGGAATTTCCATTGGTCACCACTAGCACTGCAGTTTAGTCTGGCTCAGGGCTCGGTAGAGCAGCCCTGCGCGTGCTAATACAATCAGCAGCGCAGAATGTTAATTCAGCACTGACGGTTCTGCTTCATTCTTAAATAACCTAAAAAACACAAATAGATAAGTATAAATAAAGAGCAACACGAGCAGCGGCACTCACAGCCAGTCAGGTTGACTCAGGCCAGCGTGCGCAGGGCTTCGGTCAAACGCCCTTTGCGAGTCTCAGAGCCGGTACAACTTAAAACTATCAAGTCCAACATTGTGCATTAATACAAAGCAGTGTGTGTGTGTGTGTGTGTGTGTGTGTGTGTGTGTGTGTGTGTGTGTGTTACCTGTGCAGTGCTGCGTCTGCTCTCCCATTCCCCTCTCACATGCTCGCGCTCTCTCTCTCGCGCTCCTACTCCAGCAGCAGCAGCAGCAGCAGCAACAGCAGCTCCGCGCGCTGAATGAAAAGCAGCCGGTGTGCGCGCGCCCCCGCGCTTTATCCGCGCGCCCGGGAACCTGCACGCGCCGCGAGGCTCGTGTTTCCCAGAGCGGCGGCGCGCGCCGCGAACATACAGAGGATCAGATATACAGATTCAGGGGCACAGAGGGAGAGGGTGGGGGGGTTGGTGGTGGGTCGCACTGACGCTTTAGTCTGACCAGAGAGAGAATGAGCGCGATTTTAACACGAGTTTAAGAGCGATTTAACAAGTCATTTCAAACAGCAGGTGGTTTGGAAGAGGATGAGGTTTAATTACAGATCATAAAATAATTCAGATTGTATGATATGATAATATGCGTTTTTTATAGGAAGAAAAATATCACAAATTATATTATATTATATTATATTATATTATTATTTTGTTGCAGTAAAAATATTAAAAATAAGTTTTATTATTTCTTTGTATTTCCATAAGAAAGAGTAATATCATATAAAATCACAAATAATAGCATGTACACTATGCAATGTCATTAGTAACATAATGTAACAAAAATATACATCAACATAGACATAGACATATTGTCTATTCATATCAGATATTAATAACATATGCCAAGTCATTTCTGGTGCTGTGTTTTAGCGCCATTAAATGAGAACAGAAACCCAGAGGGGTTGAATTTAAGCGGAAGTTTGAATTCCCTTCCCAAACCCCAAATCCCTGCAGCTAGGAGAGAAAAGCCCCAAACTCCTCCCTTTAACTGCTGTAACATTTAGAGAGCGCCATCAGTCCACTGAACAAGCTAAATCTACATCAAACATCTGCACCACACTCTACAATTACTTTCTATTCCAGTTCGGCTTGAGGAACAACAGCAAACCAATAGAATCTAATGAATTCTATCAGCACCATATGTGATGCTTTGTGCAGAGGGAAATGTGTTTGCGTGCGTCCTGCTACTGCATCGATTTGCCTCTGCTAACCTCTCATTTTCCCAAATTAGCTGAGGGAGCTCCCTGTCCGGGCCCTTTTTCTGTAGCTTGGGGATCTGAGGTGAAACGAGAGAGGCTCCTGTGTCCTCACGCCCCATCTAATTGGAGTGCCACTTTTATTTGGGTTTATTTTTACCTATTTAATGAAGAAACGGAGAAGTGACTCACTCCGCCATTCTAAATGCAATGCAGAGGAGAGAAACAGACAGAGCCGTTCCACCACTAAGTACCGGTGACATTACTGTCCCCTGTCTATCAGAACTGGGTGGCCACACAGGAATGACTCACACTGCCAGTGGGATCTGTGAGGGAACCGCACTGTTTTGTCCCGCCGATGTCCTCATGTGCCCTCGTGCCTTTTCTCACTTCTCTGCACATCGGAAATGGGTAGAGTAGCCTAACACAGCACTCTAGTGCGGGGATTGTTACTGTCATGAAAGAAGAAGCAAAAGCCGATAACAGGTAGAACTTTGATGAAAAAAACTCTTTAAGACCTGGGGCCTCATTCACCAACCGTTCTTAAGAAAAAAATTCTTCTTAAAACTCATGCAGTTTTCGCAAAGATTCTGACATTCACCAATGTTTTTTATGTGACATTTGTTCTTAGTCAAGAACAGAATCTACACACACTGAAGAGTACAAAGGTGTGAACAGTTCTGCAATTTAAGAATCTGACATAGACTTTTTCTTAGGATCTTTCTCAAGAACAAATTTAAGAAAAAACTTAGGAAGATATTGGTACATGAGGCCCCAATGTCCTTGTAGTGAAACCTTTTAGTATATCCAGCATCTGATGGCATAGGAACTGAAGTTTAGTAGGAGCTTTTCTTCTCTTTTTAGGAATCTTTTGGTCTAAAACCCATGTGTCAAGCACAAGTCAGGTCCGTGACAGTCCTTTTTCAGCCTGCATAATTCTTTTCACCTCCTTTTCACCCCCCAACATGCACTGCAACACTCCAACCCCCTTCCCCTAACAACAGTCTATAGGTCAGCGGTTACACAAAAAGAAAAGATGCCTGGTGTCTAGTTCAAGCAAATAGGCAGTTTTTATATCTAAACATATCTAAAATATCTAAAACAATTTATTTTTACTTAGAATTATTTTTGAATTAGTATTCATTGCCTATTTTTGCTGTTGAAGTTTTGGCATATTTTGTATAACAATGGCCCGTTTGGGTTCTGGCAAAAAACACAGCTGGCCTACAGATTTGCTTGGATCTTTTAATATGGCCCTTTTAGTTGTTGAGTTTGACACCGCTGGTCTAAAAGAAAGTGATAAAGCTCCAAAGTGAGAAGTTCCAGCAACAGTAAATCCGTTCAACTCAACTAACAGAGAAGAACCTAAAAAAGGAATTCTGAGCTACTGTGGAGTCAAAAGTAAACTACTTTCCTCACAAATATACCTGAGTAAAAGTAAAAAGTGTTCTGATTAAAAAAACTATACAGAATTACTTCCTTACCATTAGAATAGAGCAGGATTTTTATAGTAAAAGCTGTTCAACTGGATCAAATCTCTCGCACCTAAAAAAGAAAGGGATTGGTCCACTTTGGTGGTATCATTTAATGAAGACTGAGAGAGAGACTGAAATGTGCAGAGAGAGCTGGATCTGACAGCTGCACTGGGGAGGATTCAGCAGCAGCACGTGGAGCACAGGGAGTGGAGCTCAGTGTCTGGACTTTGTGTTCTTTAGCACATCTGCTACAGTTAACTCCAACTGTAGCACATCTAGCGGTGTTACTTGATAATTTGTCAAATTGAAAGAATTTGTCTTTGAATTCTGAACTGTCCCATTTCTTTTTTTAAGAAACACGTTCCAGGCTGTTTGATGAACACAGCTGAAGTCTTCATGAACTTCACATCCATAACTCTCCTCTGGAAGCTCTCATCTCCACATCTGAGTCTTCCTGAGGCTTTTCTGAACAGTTTATCAGATCTTACCATCTCTCTCTTCTTAACTCAGCGTGCGTGGTGGTGTTGTGTTTGCAGTGATCCATCGGGAGGTGTATGCGAGGCAGGAGGAGTGTTAGTCATTAGGCTTTTGGGCTTCGTTCTTCATTACTTTTTCTGGTGTTTCTTTCTGGAACATTGCTCAGGGGGTTTATGTGAACTGCTGCTGCAAAAGCATCTGCATAAAACGACAATTAAGTGTTTACGCAAAATAAATAAAACACCACTTACAGTACACACTAGGGTTTGACCGCGACTCAAGATGTTTTATAAAGTAGCGTGCTAGATGCTGGAAGGCCTTTTCTGAGTGAAAGCTAGTGATAGCGTCTGCAAAGATTTGTTACACGATTTCACCTCTTTTTCCAACACTGTACTCAAAGTGCACTATAAATGTGCTATATTTAGGAATGCCTTTCCTGTGCTGGCAGTAATACAGTCTCTCCCTCTCTTTCTCACACACAGAGCGACTGGGGTCAAAGGTTGCTCATTTCCTGAAATTACTGCCATGTCTACACCTCTTCTCATTAAAATCTCAAAGCCTTCTTGATTGCCCCTCTCTACAGTTTTTTTTTTTCTGGAGCCTTTAATATCTCCCTCATTTAAACTGACATTTTCACACCCGCCGCAGGCCTTATATGGGATGAGGGCAGAAAGTGAAGGTTGCTCTGTTAGGCCCATTTAAAAAAGCCACAGACAGATTTGTTAAACTCAATCGCCTTTTTGTGGAAAATAAAAATGAGCTGATGGCCGGTGAACAATTACACCTAATAGAGATTGTTAAAACTGATTCACTGTTTTAAACTGCTTTAAACATTTGGAGAAATAACAAAAGAGAAACACATATCATGAAATGATTTAAAATGAATTAAAATGGAAAAGGGTTTCTATAGCCGAGCAGCTGCACATCACTATGTGCGAAGCCAAGTGTTGGCTGGAGAGGTGTAAAGCACAGCATCACTGGATTATACTTCACTTTCTAGCAGTCTGATGGAAGAATCTGGGTTTGGTGGATGCCAGGAGAATGCTACCTAACAGAAGGCATAGTGCCAACAGTAAAGTTTGGTGGAGGAGGGATAATGGTGTGGGTTAGACTCCTTAGTTCCAGTGAAGGGTAATGTTAAGGCTACAGCATTTAAAGACAATTATATGCTTCCAACTTTGTGGCATCAGTTTGGGGAAGGCCCTTTGCTGTTCCAGTATGACTGTGGCCCTGTGCACAAAGCAAGGTACATAAAGACATGACTTGATGAGTTTGATGTGGTTAAACTCCAGTGGCCTGCAAAGAGCATTGGGCCTCATTCACTGACCATTCTTACAAAGAAATTTCTTCTTAAAACCCACTTAACGCAGTTTTCATGAAGATTCTGACTCACCAATGTTTTCTTATTTGGGATTTATTTATTTATTTATTTATTTATTTGGAATCTACACACACTCAAGAGCACAAAGGTGCAAACAATTCTGTGGTTTAAGAACATGTCATGAATCTGACATAGACTTTTTCCTAGGGCCTTTCTCAAGAACAAATTTAAGAGAAAAAACTTTGGAAGATATTGGTAAATGAGGGACGGAAGGTTGATTGCAAGCCAGGTGTTTTGGTCCATATATATATATATATATGGACCAAATATATATGTTGTGAGTTTTCACACATAAGCATTACTGCCTAGTTAATGGCATTAGTGTCTTGTTCAGCTGGAAAGCACGCTGCATTGTGCAAGCCTAATTAAGTACTAGGCCTTTTGTGCATTTTCCCACCCGTCTCCTTCCTTTCTTTAGTCCTATTTTACCTTTAAAAAGTGTTTCCTAAAATACCGCAGCGGCTGTGAAGCTCGCGTGTTGTGCTTTGTTTCCCTTGGCTCTGTGTTCTCAGCACGCTGTTATCTTTTCAGGTTTGTTCTTTCCTTGAAGATTTTTTTCTTTGTGCTTTGCAAGGCTGGTGGGTTCATGACCTCTGTAGTTAACAAGCCTTCAAGCAGGTTGATGGGGCTGGGCTGGGTTAGAGGCTAAAAAAAGAGAGAGGGTAGCACGGCTTCTATTCCTGAACTTCAGTAAGAGAGGTGCTTTGTCTGTA